GTTGAAAAGGGAAAATTCTTGCTCCACAGGAACTGGAGAAACGGGCTCCAAAGCTTGTTGAAAAGTTCTGATTAACTTTACACTCCCTCGAACACCAAAAGCGGGAAGAGCGGCTCCAAAGATTGTATGAGAAATCTTCATTTTTCAACAGATCAACTTCTTATGCAAACCGGAATTTGCACATCATTTAGCAATTATAAGCATTTTTTCTATACAGTATAAGATTTTGACTGAATTAATGAGACATTTTATTCTGGCTGGGAAATTTGTATACTTAAACAGAACCACTAGGAGTCTCCATCCTCATACATGCAGATTTGTCAAACTACTTTATGTATTGTATCCAGATTTCGACGTCACAACTAAAAATCAATCAATCTATTTATAGTATTATGTTTATGATATTTATTAAAGCAACTTTAATTTTCAATCGATCTAATTTTTTGTATAAGTTAGTCTCATAACTTTGAAGAAGAGGATTATAATCTACTTAAGTTACAGTATTAAAATTGATAAGGACTAAAAATACAAATTCCAAACTAAAGTAACACCCACAAAGCAAAGTATGTATATTAGCAGGCATTTCGTCCCCGAACGTCTAGACATATTTCCGGTATTTGATAATAAAGTGAGGTATTTTATGAATGAAGAAGGTAGCATTTTGCCAAATTCATAAGCTATCTAGGACCTTACATACTTAGTAGTTAGTTAAGTTCCCTAATGAGATAATCGTAATGTTCACCCAAAAGTATTCCATGTCATAAAATACAATAAAGAAACACTTTATGATTAAGTTTTCATAAACGCCTTCAAATTCCTTTGATATAGAGACTAATTTAAAAATTTCAAATCGACAGGCATATTTTAGTTACCATTTTGTTAATCAGGCGTTTTATGAGAAACTGATATTCATATATTCATATTTCAGATCTCAATAATATCCGAACTAATATTTTTTTTAAATTACTTTTGTCGAAGATACCAGACCAGGGCATATAAATTGTACTATTCATCCAACAAACTAACATTTTGAAAACTAGATTTATTACACACACATATTGTTGAAATTAATTAAATATTGTTCCCTTCACAACGGGAAAATTGCATTTTCCTAACAACATTCCCTTCAATTGTTCACTTTATGTATATAAGTCGAGCTGAATGCTTAGGCCAAATTGTATTGTGCCCTAAAAACGTGAAAGAAGGGCAACCTTAAAGCCCAGGCAACGTTAAGGCGGACAGGAGAAGCAACAAGAGCCTGCAAGACGTGTACTTCTTGCTGCCTGCGAGTGACACATTTATTTTATTCCCTGCTCGTATAAATTCATGTATTCCCAGAGTTGGGAAATTGTATAGGAATAATTGTCAATTAGGCAGACTGCAGATGCGCAACTCGACAGCGTTTGCTTCAAATGCAGGCAATTTATGGCGTAAAAGCCGACCAAATTGCTCGACTTTATATGAGTTTATATGCTTGCTGTTTGCTTAAGATAACGAACTCTGTGAGGGCATCTTCGCATTTGCATTTCAGTTATTATAGCCTGTACCCAAAGGGTGAAAGGCTATACTAGTTTTGTGCGCATGTATGTAACACACAGAAGGAGGCGTGGCAGACCCCACAAAGTATATATATTCTTGATCAGGATGAGAAGCCGAGTCGATATAGCCTTGTCCGTCCGTCCGTCTGTCCGTCTGTCTGTCCGTCTGTCCGTCTGTTCGTATGAACGCAAGGATCTCAGAAAGTATAAGAGCTAGAATAACCAAACTTGGTTTCCATATTCTCCTAAGACCGAGAAAGTACGAGTTTGAGTTTTTTTTCGATGCACCCCCCCACTCCCCCGCAATTCGTGTTTTTTCTTATAACTTCCGTAATTCTTGGAATTTTGAAATCAATTTTGGTAGGTACATCCAGTTAGTACTAATGTGTCCGTGTGCCAAATTTCATCATGATAGGTCAATTCTGAAGAAAGTTATAGCCATAAGTAAAATCGCTGCTCATGCGCTGCCTCTGTCGGCAGCGCTGCCCGCAGCTGTTGTTGTTGTTGCTGCTTTGGTTCAACTTTGTGCTGCATACATACACGCATATAAACACGCATAGGTACGTGATGTAAATGTATGCTGTTAAAACTAAACATAAACATATATTCTAATTTAATTTAATTAATTAATTCATTAATTTTTTTTAATAATTTAATTTTTTTTTTAAATTTTTTTTTTTTTAATTTTTCTTTTTTTGTGGGCAGTACAGGCTATTTTACTGTCGGGCTTGCTCGACTGTAGCGTTCTATCTTGTTTATGTTGGGTACATTTGTGCGCAATGGTGGCGTATGCGTAATTTTCCTCCGTTAATGAAGTGATTTTTTTGAGGAAAAATGCTGCCTCATCATCTGAAACGGTAAAATGAGCACCCGTCGCGTTGCTATTGATTGGGAATTTATTTATAAACACATGAGGGCCCACAGCGAGCCTTAGCGCGTCATTATCAGCATTTCGAGTTCATCCTGCATTTGCTGCAACGTCAGCACGAATGCAACGTTACACGCATGTGGCATTGTCGACTACACTCACGCTGCCGACCCAGCAGAAAGCCACCTCAATACATTGCTCGTCATCGTATCTGCGCATTTCATTTCTTGTCTTTCCTTGACATTCGTATCTTCTACTATATATGCTTGGGGATTTTTGTATCTGCGCTTATTTATACCGCTGCATTGCCTTTAATATGTGTCATGGATTCTGTGGAATGGAATGGAATCTGTCCTCCCATTGCAACAGACAATACTTGAAGCAGTTACAATTGTAACTGCGAACTGACAGACAGCTGAGTGCTGACAATATTGAACATGAAATCGCATTTGAGCTGACGTGAAATTTTCTATAAGTTCTCGAATACGAATATAAATACGAGTATGTCTATGCTTGTGAGGATTGATGCATAGAAAGTTTCTAATTGAAATGTTTGACATCTAATCTTCTTAAGTCTTGCTAACTGAACTGACATTGCCTTTGACATTGACAGGAAATCCATGTTAGCAAAATTTAATAATAAAGAGGCATGCAGGCCCGATTTACATTTCAAAAATCAAAATTAATTACGATTATCGAATTCCAAATTCGAATGTTAATTCATGTACGACTATACTCGTAAATAACATTCCACTTGAAATTTAATTTACCACTATACATAACTGCCTTTAGAGTTGTGCTCTTATGATACAAATTAGCAAATACTTAAAATAAGTATGATAATCAAGAATATATATGTTTGGTTTAAGAAATAACTTAACATTTTGATAATCCCGTTTTAATCTCACTGCATAGGGTATTTCATAGTTGTATAATAAAAGATAAGAATGAATAAACTTTAATCGGGCTTGTGTCCATGCTCATCTACTCATCACAGAAAAAGAAGCGCAGTTGCTGGCAGAATACGGGCATAAAAAGAAAATTAAATTTTAATGATACAAAAATTCCCTCGTTATTATTCATGTTCATGTAAATAAAAGGTAATGTAGAAGATCTACATTTCGAGTGCGACAGGATTGAAACACTAATAGACCAGGCAATAAATGCCAAGTTCCAGGAACCAATCCTTTTGCCATCAAATGCTTACCCCTTTTCAAAATATTGATGGGCAATTAGAAACCAGAATCGCAACTCTTTAACTCTAATTTATATTGAATTTATCATGTTTTGCATAAAATTAAAAAATGTTTTAACAAAAAAAAAAGCTTTTTTAACTTTGTACTTTTTAGAGTAAACTACAAAATCACTAAGAAAATTAAATGAAGAATTTTAAATCCACAGTTGTGTCCCCATAAATTCGAGATGTTGAAAGAAAAAAAAACTCGAGTGACAAAAAGAAATAAACTCGCATATGCCTGACAGATGCTGACATGGCGTATCAGTACAGAACCAGCCTGACTTTGGACTTTCTATACAGACGCATGGGAAACAATGGAAAATGTCATGTCGTGCATTCCAGATGTATTTTTTAAATAGTGCAGTTTAGCAAAAAAAAATGGTGGCTGCACTGTTGAAATATTACACTTGCAACAGACCGGAAGTGGCTGTCGCGCGTGCACACAATGGCGACCACGGACGGCAACTGTTGCAATATTCCAGCCCAGTGCCTCAAGGGATGACCGCACAAAAACATAAATCACTGAGAATTGTGTAGATGCCAAGTTTATAACTCGTGGGGCTAAACCTAAAGAACTAGCGAGCATTTTTTACTGGCTGATGAGCAGCTGCAGTTGATTAGCGAGGCGTTACCATTAAGCACTTTTCGACGCTTATTGAAGTTATAAGGCCGTGGTTGCCCATTTGTCTAATCCTCGAGTGGATATATGTGCTAAGCGACTTTTAAATCTACTTGACAATAGTACCACCAACAGAAGACTTACGAGACTCCACCTCCACCACGATCTATCCTCACTTCTTCCTATAAATGAGCTCATAATTTCACATAATTTGTAAATCTGCATAAACAAAATTTCTATAATTATTATCCCCTACAGACAAATAAAAAAATTATATTTCGTTTTTACAAATTTTTTCGTTTTCCAAATCAGTATTTAACCCACTTTTACAAAATTTCTTAAAATAGGTAAAGGACTGAAATAAATACTTTATTCAAAGATTCGATTTCATTAAATTTGCCAAGCAAAAATATGACTTTCTAGTTTAGTTTCTTAAAATTACGAATTATTTTAAACAAATACAAAAAAAAAGTAATCAGAACATTAAAAAATCTTGATTGTAAGTAATGTAAGTATGTTGATTAAAGGGATCAAAATTTAAGCCAAACTAAGCAAAATCTAATTGCTGTAGAAATTAGGACGCGCGAGACAAAAAACAAGATACCACATTTTAAAAAATACATAAAAATCTAAGCTGCAGATTGGAAAAATCACAGAAAATGAAACTGTTAAAAATAATGGCAGCGCGCTTTTAAATTAAAAGCGAATTCTAATTAAAAAATAATCCCACAGACTTACGGCATTCAGCAGCATTGAGAGCAGCAGCAGTAGCCATTTGGTTTTGTGTGCAGTTTTGTGCATGGCCTGCATTGTGGACGACACTGATGCGTATTAACTTGAAATGTGACGTCGGAACGACAGTAAATTATAGACGTTTGAAACGCACGCACGCACACACACACAAAAACTAATTGCGTTTGGCGAAGCAACTAAAAGTATGCAATGATTTTAGAACCACAACACACTTATTCAAAAATTTAACTGTTACTTTCTGCACTTTGAGAACACTCGGCCTCTTGGTTACTTCTTAGCTGCGCAACGGTGGCAACGAAGTCTTTCGTTTGACTGAATGCTGCGACCAGGACATGCTGCTATTTATACGATACGCCGTGTGCCCTACACACTTATGTACATATCTACACGCTCGCATACAAGCACACGACTGTTGCTCGTGTTGCTGGCATTGCTCTCGTGGGTGTAATGAGAGCGCCGAACGGATAAATATGTCGCTCGGCCAGTCGCTCGAGCGGCTTGTGCACCATTGTCAACTGTTGCTAGTGGCGCGCGGCATACTTTCCGGCGGCTCCTATGTCAGGCAATTGGCCGAGCTGCAGAGGCCGCCTATGTACATGGGTAATGACGTCATGCGCGGTTCAATTGTCGATGTAAATGTCAAATTAAGGCCAACCATGCAGCACAGTGGACAACTGTCATAGGTACGTGGTTCCCCTTCGCCTCATGAATAAAACGAAAAATAACTAGTTGATTCGCACAACTGACAGATTTGTCTACAATTGTGATAATATTCAATATCAATTTTATTTCAATTTTAATGAACATTAAAGCTGTGTATAACAACCTACATCGCCTTGCATTGCCCAGCATTTGAATTCAAAGAGGCTGTGCCACTGTGCCTCAAGCTCTTTATCCAGTTCAATGAGAGTAAGCTTTCAATTCTCTTGCGCTTTTATCCATATGCCTTGCGCTCTTTCAAACACACTCTAAGGCATCGTTATTTTATCCAATTTCCAGAGTACTCGCGCAACGCAGCTCGCTCAATTAAAAGCGTAATGTGAGTTACTCATACGCCGCGTGGTGCGGCAAAACCCGCGACGCCATTCACCAGCATCCAGGCAGTGTGCCGTAAATTATCAAAGTTTTCCAAATATATGACACTTGTCGCTGGGCACGTCTTGGGTTGGCTATGTCCACAGTGCATATCAGAATGATTTCAATTAGATTCATGTTTGCTCAAGTTCCTCACTTAAAATAGCATTTCCTTTTCCCATTCTATATGAAAAATATATTTCAAGAGGCCCAGAAATTATATTATTCTTGATAAGTATGCTGAAGTGAGTTGTCATGTCCGTCTATTCGCCTGTAAGCCATTTAGATTAGCTTAAAAATAAATGAACAAATAATATTAAATTTATTGATATTTTTGCAATTAATAAATTGTTTTTCATTAACAAACAAAACTTTCGATGTTAAAAAAAAATTAAAACAATAGAGAACTTATCTATAATATAAAAATGAATCGCCGAATGTGCTAAGCGCAAATATCGAGAGCAGCTGAACCGATTTCGCTAATTTGTATATTATATAATAATAAAAAAGTGTGTTTGTGAGTTACTAAATATGCCTCCTATAAGGCGGCGGAGAAATTAAGGCAGAGGAACCCGAAATTCAACGAATTAAGTTAATCGTACTGCCCAGGAACATCAAGATCACAATGAACGTGAAAAAATTCAGTTAAGGCAGACCCGTGAAGTGAGACGTTCGACTAATAATGCTGCAAGTTTGAATCGAGCTGCTTTCTGTTACGATATGTCAATTGATTACAGTACCTACAACTGTGTTGCTATTGGACCTATGAACTCAGTTTGCCAATATTATAAGGCATTCAAATACAAAAATGAAGCGAATGGATTGTGTTGCGCAGATGGAAAGGTGAAATTGATTCCATTGCTACCACCACCTCAAAGCCATTGTACTCATTAGCTTTAGGAATAGGATTCCATACACTTTTTAAAGAATATTCAACAATACAACGACTGCTTTCAAATGTCTTCATTTGGAGCAACAAGAGTAGTTAGGGAAAATTTAATGCCAACTTATAAGGTTTGTAAAAGTATTTGCAGTTGTATGTATATTAATAAGGTTTTTAGGACGTTTTAATGCAACTACTATCGATGAAGTTTCCATTTTTGTAGTTGGAGAAAATTTGTCGTCACGTGATATTATTTTACATCGTCGAAGTAATCATTTACAACGTATAAAGGAAACACATTGCTCATATGATGCACTGCATTTAAGTGTTTCATAATTTTTATTTTTTGACATAATGTAATTGTTGACTTATTAACTTTCTTTTTTTTTAATACTAGTACTACTTACTAGCTGACCCAGTGTCACGAATAGCAGAATAGGTATTAAAAAATGTTTTTTAAATCGACTGTTAGGCGTTAACTAAATATTAACAAGTTTACAAGGCTTATTAGCCTGCCCTACTCACTCATTATAGTCAGAGCATAACAATCGAAAAGGATTGTTCATAGAAGCGGCAAAAAGTTTCTTATTGGCCTGAAAGATACAGAAAAACGTAGACCTAAAGGCATAGAGGAATTAACATCTCCGAAAATAAATTTATGGAGGGAAAGAAAACCAAAAACTATACTAAGATGTGCTAACGAATGCAGGGTAATAAGGAAAAGTCTACTGGACTAGAGCGGTAAACGCATTAGGATTAGGATTACAGTTAAGGCCACGAAGAGCAAAAAGAATAAATTGTTTCTGGACCCACTCAATGCGGTCGTGGTACAATTTATATTTATATATATAATACAGTATTTTAACAATGGCCATACTAGTAAACTGTAAAGTAGCTCCAATACCACTGGAGTCAATGAATTCCGACGAACATCGTTTAATAATCAAGAACACCTTTAGCTTGGTTGATGATAGTGGAGATGGGAAGACTGAAATTAAATTTGGGATCAATAAGAACTCCAAGATCTTCAATTATGGATATACGTTGCAATGGTATTTTGCCAATCCGTTAGTAAATAGATGTGGTCTGGACCGGTCATAATGCATTTAGATCAGTTAAGGCGCAATTAGTTGACCCGCACCATCGTTACCAGCAGTTTAGATCATTCTGCAGACGGCTTCGATAAAGATGATCTTAACATCATCGGCATACATTAGTATACAATAATACAACAGGATATAACTAAGGTTATTAATAAACAGGGTGACTAATTCGGGGACAACATGGTTACCGACACTCTCTTTGTCTGAAAGGAGATAGGCAGTGGTACCGTGTCTTGCCAGCTCGTTGGCTATACAATTTCCCTCAATGTGTCTATGACCTGGAGGAGATGTTTAAAGTAGATATGGCTTTCTCGAAAGATCAAAAGACTTTTCTAAAAAAGCGCGGGACAGAACCAGATATCCTTACATTTCCAGCCCTACAACCTAATATTCACTTTATGCTACTTCCAATATCTGGCAATAAACTATTCATGACAATTACTTTTCCCATGTCAATTAACGATAACCTGAGATACAGAATCTCTAATAACAATGCACTTCTGTGCGAGTCTGCCAAAATTCAAGATGAAAAGTGTTTCAAGCTGAGATTCTCGCTTATCGAGTGAAGTAGCCCGCATTTTGTTTACTATTATCTACCTTTTTTCGTGTGAGTGTAGAAATAGGCAGCACATGGCCTTGAAATTACAATTAGTTGTGGTTCAAATATTCGACTGATATAAAAAATCATTATTTAATGGTATTAATTAAATTAATACAAACAATGTTTATACCTTGTAATTGAGCGAGCCCGACAGTGAAATACACTATAACCAAACAAAATACCATTACTTAACAAATTAGTGATTTTCCATAAATTGATTAACTCATTGTCCTTGTCATTGTCCTTTTAAATTTTGTATTATTTCTATACTATTTTATTAAACAGTTATCCGCTATACGAGACTCGGTTTGAACCCAAATGAACAGGCTAAAAAATAAAACTAATGACACTGTCATCCTAATTTATTACCAACAGGGCTGTGAACTAAAAAAGTATAACTAGTATAAAAAATTAACGAAAAGGCCCTTCTTACACCTGAATTTAAATAACATAGCCAAAAGCTACGTTCATGGTAATATAGCTCAATGGTCAAGCTCACATAAACTGTGGCTGCTTGTGGATTGCGTTGGACTCATGCCTGAATGCAGCTTGCAGATTGCACGCTGATATGGCCTCAACGCCAACCTGTCGGCCCGAAATGCATTCGACGGCGAAACTCTTAAAAGGGTTGCTTCCATATGCACACTGCTTTTGTTTCAGACAAGCGAAGCATAAAATTTGGTTAGAACAGTAGAAGCATGGAGCGGAACTGAGCCGCATCGGCAGGAATGAATCGTGAGCGGGGCACGCAGTCAGCCAGATGGCAACAGCCACCTCGCATAAATTATTCAATGATGTGCAATGATAAACAAGAGTGAAAAGAGTGCTTTCAATTTATGCAAAGTAAATTTAACCACAATAGACAAACAATACAAGTAATTGGCGAGTGTGGAGGGAAGCAGAAGAGCATATGTTGGTAAATCATACCTAAAGAGATCAATTTTAAAATGTGATATGCATACCACTTGAATAAGAGGAATAAACGCATTGCTCTGCAAATATCAGTACGTGAAAGGATAAACAGCATATGCATTAGGTTTGGGAAAAGCCAAACATGTAACAGCCAGACTTCTTCTGCGAGGCAGACCCCACAAGGGTCTATCTGTCCCCCCTATGGGCGATTTAATATATCTCGGAGACTATGAAACCTAGGGACACCAAATTTTAGTCCAAGATGCATTATGTGAATGCGCAGAAAATGTGTATTTTGGAAAGTCCCTCCCTAACCCTATACAAATTGTTGATTTTCCATAACTCCCGTAATTTTTGAAATATGTCAAATACCTCCAGTTAGTGATTATGTGTCAGTATACCAAGTTTTATTATGATAAACCGATATAGCAGGAAGCTAAAGCCATAAATATAATATTTGGCCAAGCGCTGCCCGCAGCTGTTGTTGTTGTTGCTGCTTTGGTTCAATATTGTTATGCATACATTTATAATCACACAGACACGAATATAGATGCATATACACCTTTTACTTGAGTTCGAATGCCAAGGGAGGACAATTTCTTTTTTAATTTTAAAATTGTTTTTAATTTCTATAATTGTTTTACGTATGTATACATATGTACAAAGTATTTAAAAATCGGGACACCCGACCCTTCAGCTTTTGTACTTGTTCAAATTTCAA